CACGAATGGAAAGAAAACGTGAAAAGTTTTATACTGTTTTCAAATATTCTCATACCAAAAAATTTTCATTTTTTAAAACAATTTTAGTCCAGATAGTGGCTTTCTAATGAAAAATTAATAATTATTTTTGTATGTTGATATTTTCATCATAGATAGGGAAATTGTTATCAGTTGTAAGCGGGGACACCGAGAAAAGTTTAAAAAATTTAGATATAGAAAAGATGTAAAATTTGCTAATTCCGAACACTTGTCAGAAGGGAATGAATTACCATTCAGAGTATTTGCAAGTATTGTATTTTTTTTTTACATAATTAGTCTTTGCTTCCTTTATATATGCTTCTGTAGATAATAATTATTTTTCATAGCTTTCCTATACAATAGCTTTATGTGAAAGTGCGTGTATTTTTGTACGCGTTACCTCCCTTTATATATGCTTAGTCATCTTAGGAGAGCTTAAAAATTTGTATTACATTTTTTTCAATAAAATTGATGAAATAAAAAATGTAATGAAAATTTTGTTTCTCTGTTTTATCTACAGTCAAATGCTTCCTATTCATCAAGATTTAGAACAAATTTAGCATCCTTTGCGCTGAAAACAGATTTGAAAAAATTGTAACCATGTAAAACAACCTTGTCCCTATATAAGTTTATATCGGTAAGATATCTCCATTAATCGGCCCTTCCGGTTATTCAACGCAATGAACACACTTTAATCGTTTGTCAGAAGATCGATAGACACAAGTATTCATTATATCGTAAGGCAATTTCCTGTTTAAATTTGAAAACTATAATCTTGATTTAATGTTGATAATATATTTGATATATTATTCCGAAATAAATTGTGCCTAATCTGAGGGTGTGTCATTGACCAGTTTACTTCTTGTATCTTTATACAGTTGAAGAATTTTTTTCGAAATATTCTGTTTTCAGGAATACAATTATATGTCATCATCACTTTAACTTCAGTTGAACAATTTTCACATCTTATATTGAAATATCAAAATGAGTATTCACCAACAAGAGATCAAAAATACCGCGGAACAATATGATTTATTGTATCGAAAAGTTCACAGAAAGACTAGTCAAATTATCTAAAGGACAAACGAATTTATGTAATGATAAGCGAAAGCAAATTTTATAGAAATTCGGCGAAAAATAACAGTATAAATTAATGGACAAGAATAAAATGCTGTACAGAACAAACGCCAATAAGAATAAAAATATCTTGAATCAAAGTACAGTCCAAACACAATCTCATGTTGTGGTTCTAAAGATTACTACATTTCAAAGAAATTGATTAAAATCTGAAGGAAGGGATGTCTGGACAAGATGAAAATGTCGAATTAAACAAATGGTAAACACATGCTCTTAAACAAGTATCATAACTCCGGACCTATTGCTTGTTCAAAGGAGTATTGTAAGATCTCAACTCATTTGACCAAAAAGAAATTGGAAGTAGGTCAATCGTTTGGATAAATTCATCCAAATATGTTGTTGAACCAATATCAACAGCCTGGACCTTTTTATTGACAGAAATTCGTTTGAAGATTTAAATAAGAATGACACATGTAACCTTAACAATAGGTCAAAGTCAACCATATGAAAACCAAACTTGGGAATCTCTGCATGTTATCAGTCCAATAATAGTACCCCGGAACTTTTGGTTATTGACAAGAAGTAGTCTAAAGACTTCAACACATTTGAGACCTGTGATAATGCGTCAATGTCAAAAATAAGAACAGTCCTGGAAGCCCTTTATTGCAGCATGCTACAAGCCCACTATCAGCATACTGAGCCTTTTGAATATTGCTAAGAAATCATTTAAATATTTCAATACATATGTCCCTTGTGACCTTGAAGTGGGTAAAGATAATTCATTTTAACAAACTTGGTAGCGCTTGATTTAAATATGCTACAGGCCAAGTATCAGCACCCTGGGCATTTTGTTATTAAGAGGAAGTTGCTTAAAGATTTCAACGCATATGACCCTTGTGACATTGAAAGAGGGTGAAGGTAATTAATTTTAACAAACTTAATAGCAGTTCATCCGAACACACTACAGGCATAATATCAGCATCCTGGGCATTTTGGTTAGTAAGTAGAAATCGTTTAAAAAATTAAACACATTTGACCATTGTGACATTGAAAGAGGGTGAAGGAAATGTTTGACACCTGTGACCCTGAAAGTAGAAATGAGTAAACTCGGTTGCCTTTCATTCCAGCATACTATAAGCCCAATATCAGCATCTTGAACCTTTGGTTATTGAGAAGAATTAGCTTTTGCCACTTTTAATATCTGTGACCTTGAAAATAGATGAAGGTCAATAACAGGAACCCCTTTTTTCAACCCCCCCCCTTTTTTTTTAGAATTATCCGTGTCAATCTTCCTCTGTACATATTCTGCCTTAGTTTTATTGAATATGAGTTTAGATTGTGATTCCGCCCACTTGTTGGTAGCTTTCCTGCTTTTATAACTGTATTCATCCACTTTCTATTCGGTTTAGTTGGTGCTATTTTTACTTCGTATGTCTATGTTAGTCTGCTTTATTCATGTGTGTGTATATGTGACACCTCTTGATATAGAGATATCACCTATTGATTCAAGGATGTTAAGTATATACAGTATATGCACATCCTTGGTTATTTGGAAATACTTCCTGAACAAAGCGATATTTTAGGACAACGATAAGGACAAATTAAGGTGAAATAAAATTTGATAATACAAACTTTTTTTTTACTTCTTTGTGAATCCACACTTTTTACCGGGTATTAATAACTGTTTGTTAATGTATCTTTTGTGCAAATGATGAATGAAGTAAACCGGTGTTAACTTCACTATCTGAATTCTTCACATGTTTTTGCTAACACAATTGATATCGATATACATGTATAAGAGCATTGCACTCGTTTAAATTTTAAACAAGACAGCAGAAAACGGGTTTATATATGCAATTGGAAGCAGCAGGTGCGATTTTGTCATCCTACCTAAACAGCAACATAATACCAGGACAACATGCTTCTATGTTATAACGAAGGTTTATCATTGCTTACTGCCGATTTATTTAGACTATCATTAAAATGTATACTACGGCTATCAAACGTGGGAAACAATTCACGATAAGTGGGTCTTGGTATTTTCTGAATCGGGTTGATTTGAGTTCAAATGGGAAAGTGTTTAAATATAAAAACAAAATAACAATGACACTCGTACTTCATGCATCCGCATATCATTTTCAATTTTGATTACAAAACTGCTTCCAATGATAAATCAAATTTAGAAACATCTACGATACAGACATCATTTTGCTATCATTATTATTGAAACTGCAATTTGAGATTATGTGTTGTAAGCGTTTTGCTATTGTTACCTTATATGATGTCAATTATCCCACTTTATATCTGTCCGGGCCCGCAATTGTATGGTTGATCAGAGCCTAACATCAGGGGAAGATGCGAGGGGCTAAGAAAATCGTACATGTCGTACTTATATGGTTGTGTCTTTGGCAATTACTTTACTCTAATTGCTTTGAACAGCCTGCAACGGGTCTTCCCTATGTTTATTAAAGAAGGAGTCACCAGAAACTACAAGGGGTCCTGCCTCAAATTAACATTGACTTTTCATAAGCTTAGCAAACAAACCAGGTCTTTTGAGAGTTCAAAGTTAAATCAAAGGGTGAAATCAAAGTTTGTACACAAAATGCTGTATGTATATCAACGACATCTATATATAAATATCATGTGTATATATGCGAAATAGGACGGACATTGTACAGGATGAACGATGTCAGATTACATTTCATCCCGGAAGAAAGCTTTTTGTTGACTCGCATGCCAAGTGAGTTGTATATTTATAAAATGTTCGTCATTCATGAACCAGTTGACCAACTGATTGATACCACTCAAACGTGTGTGTTGTTGACAGCTGTATTGATATTCATTTATACTGGAATATAAGGTATGTTTTGTGGTCATTATCACTAATTATTGTCTATTGTTCTCTACTATTCTTTGGTCCTAACGACCTAGGTTGATAGAATATCACAATATTTGTTGTCTATATTCTAATTGATATCTAAAAGCACTGACTAGATTCATTAGAATTTAGTTAATTTTTGTGTTGGGTATGTCAGATCATATCAGATCAAATTACAACCGTCTTTAACGAGAATCAAAGGAACACATCCTTTCTGATCATTTATACAGCCACGGAATAATTCATTCCTGTTAAAAAAGAATGAAAAACTGAAAAAAACTATATATGTATAGCACATGCCGCTATCTTATTGTTTCTTAAACATATTTTCAGATATACTTTACTGAAGAAGAGTCATCCTTTAGTTATTTAGACTATGAAATTTAATAATAAAATTTGCTTTAAACGATATTTATTCACTGTGTGTGTAAAGTTTCAGAATCACAAGTAAGGCTTACACCAGAGCTAGGAAAGCAAATTCTCAATGTCTGTACACTTTGAGGACAGCACATTCCTTACAACAATCTTCTTACACCAGAGCTAGGAAAGCAAATTCTCAATGTCTGTACACTTTGAGGACAGCACATTCCTTACAACAATCTTCCTTAGTATGATCGTACGATCAAATCTATAGAACAAATCCTTTGGAACAAACTTTGCCTCTTTCTTTACCTTTGTATTTTTGCTTGTTTGATTTTAATTCCATATAGACTCATAACTCTATTTCAATGATATTATTAATAACAAAATGTATCGAGGTAACATAATTTCAAGAATAAATCATGTTATGTTTTTACACTTGTGTCACAACGCACTTTAGGTAATTATAGTTTGTTATTTCTGATGAACACTTTCCACCTGTATATATGAATAAAGTAATTAGTATTTTGTAATTATAATCCTTATTATAATTATATGAAATGTGATTGGTTATTTACCGTTTCAGGTTTATCTTTTGTTTTTAACAAAACCTTAATACCACAACGTGGATACTGAGGAAACCGTTATTTCGATAAAAGAATAGAACATGTCGGACTCAACATTAATAAGTTTATCAACACATTTATCCAATACTACAGAGTATAACTTGTCAACAGAACGGTATACCACCGACGAGATTCCTTTTCAACCACTTCCATTGTACCTGTTCATCATATGGTTTGTAATCGGAGTTCATGGGAACGTTATAGCAATAACTATTTTAATACGGATCAGAAGCAAACATAAATGGAGGCTATTTTACAAACTCGTGCTAATGCTAACCTTGTCAGATTTTTTGGGTCAACTGATAACACTTCCAATCATGATCTCATCGTATTCGAACAAAGACATTTTAAAGACTGGAGGAACTCTCTGCAATACCATGTCAACAATTACCGTAATGACGTCATTTATGTCCATTTCATTTGTCTGTCTCATGTCTATTGATCGGGCGATTGCAAGCTGGTTTCCAATATTCTACAGAAACTCCATCAAGTCCTGGAACATAGGTCTTGTCATTTCTGGTGTCATTTTAGTAGCTATATGTTTAGGGATTCTACCACTAGTTGGTGTAAATAAATACAAGTTACAAAGAGAAGGGACGTGGTGTTTCGTTGACCTCCATCCCACCCAAACAAAGGACAAAGTTTTCTTATACTTAAGCGCGTCCATTGGTATTTTAGCAGTGCTGATAATGCTGATGATGAACGGAATGGTTTTATACAGATTGTGTCGCATTTATAGCAGGACGGAGCGTCAGAACAAACGAATTTCAAGGGCGCCAACAGTTTCTTCCGGAGTGAAAAAGATCCAAACCATGTTTTTCCTGTTTACAATTATGACGGTGTTCATGTCGTCTTGGATTCCTATTATCGTAAGTATAATGCAACAGTACTCTTTAACATTTTAGTGATGTATCTAAACATGTGTGTATGAGGTAAATAAATTTGACACACTTTACTTTTGTTTTCAGGGAATACTTCATAAATTTTTGGTGTGTATACTTTATTTGCCTTTACCAACAAAATTGATGTTTTTTCCACGTAACCGCACAGGTAACAGGACCACTGTACAAATGCAGTGAATAGCGTGAATCCACTATTGAATCTTTATTTGAGTTTTTGCATTTGGTAAATGACTTATGTCGTTTTGTAAAAACTTACGTCTCAAAAGAGATATGAATTAAATTGTGGAGGAAATATTTGAAACGTGATTCTTGTGTTCCATGCATGTTCTGTCAGGTTTAATTACCTGTACGAAGGGCAAGTTTACCTTCTTTACATGTATGTTGTAACTTCCGTATCAGCTTTCCCTCAAGAAGTTTTAATAATGAATGTAAATTAAATAAAAAAAACCAAGTTAATCATGGGACAGCATGTCAAACTCATTTGCAATATGATAAAGTACTGTTTATCAAACTGCCTTGACATTAAACCCTACCATACGAACTATCTGAGATGAAACATGATAAATCTTTATTTGAAACAACAAAGAAAAAACTCCAACATGTCACTATAATCATATTCAAATGCGCGATTAAGCGAAGTATAAATAAAACAAAGATTTACATGGAGACTCCTAAAATGTACAGGGAGATTAACAGCAGATGTTCCGGTAGAGTAAGCGTCTCCTGATTCATCGACAACACACGCAATATAAATTTTAGTCAATCCAACTTAATAATTTTACGTTCTCGAATGAGAACAAGGTATACAACAACGGAACCAACAGGCAAACTAATAAACATCGAATACGTTCAGTATCATATCGCACAAAGAAATAGAATATTCCTTAATTAGATCACTTTAACGACCCTACGATAAAACAATAATTTCCTAGCCTTCCTGAACTATTTTGGTGAGGTATAATCCAAAATGTATATTATTGCGACCCATAACAAAAACTTTCCACTAAGATAAGAGTGTCACGACTCCTGCTTGACATACGTCTAAGTGGGTTTGTTTCATTGATGTGATATGAGCTTACAGCTTTTTATCCACAAGCGACCCATAATGACCTTCTATAAAACCCTATTGAAATATTCTGGACACGGACGCATTTTTACCAATATTGAACTCATTTGAGATATCACTATCATAAAGCAATACAATATTTAGTCAACGAGTGGCAGTAAAAGTTAATTGATAGAAATGAAAAAATCTCTTTGTTGTCGCAGCATACTAATTTTGGTTAAAAGCTGATGAAAACGTTATTTGACAGAAACCCTAAACACACAAACAGGCAGTGTTGTTGAGATTGATCTAGTAATTTCCAGTTCATATATCGCACCATCGGTAGATAGTACTGTTAAGCGACATTCATATATCACACTTATACGTTGTCGGAGGGTTTACCTGTTGTGAAATATCAATCAAAGCAATAATGAGTAGCCACCAAGCTCCAAGTTGGTGTTTAAATGAGACATGTGAACGTCATGATTCCTCTTTTTCCATTTACACTACCATCTGTATCTTTCTGCTTATCTAAAGAAAAGACTAATTGTAGAATGTTCGTTTCTGATCGGGTTGACGTCTCCGATGTCTTCTGCCTAGGGGATATAGGAAAACTCAAAAATAGGTCCTGATGTTTTTCACGACATGACTTGATAGATGCCACTAGCATGCGTATCTTGTTCATCGTCCTCCGATTACTAGTGTTAAAAGTGAATTTTTATTTTATTTCAGGTAAGGATTATAACCAACGCCATTGAAGTGTCAGATATTGATCACGTAAGGGACAGGAGTGCTGTAGCACTAGCTGTCATACATCAAGTCCTGAACCCCTGGGTATATATTATCATGCAGGAGTGTCTATTCTCTCGTTGTTTAGAATATGCACGAAAACATAGCAAACGAGGAAGTATCTTCCATAGAATACTTGATGACACCACAACTAAAGAGACGGAAATGATCATTTGTAAACGACGCAGTCAGTTTAAAAATTGAATAAAGTGTGTGACGAAGGTTGATCGACTGATATCCACACAAATATTATATTTCACTTTTTATACATTGAAATATAAATATTTACCTTCAACAATTCAAGCTAATAGGGCTTACATATAATTCAGGGATCAGATTGGAGTGTAGTCATTTTACATGATGGGCACTTAACTGCCACACATATTAGTTTATTAGGAGGACGAAATTAGTATTACAGATTATATTTAGGCAAAGCACTGCCTCAGCTACACACTGATTGAAGGAATACTAACACATAACAATACAACCAGACAATATGTAAAACAGTTTAATGTTTGCATAAGACACAAGGAACTTTTCGCACCTTATACAAGACACGAGTGAATGACACCGTCAAATATAAGTTTAGAATTAGATACAACAGTGCCAGATGCTGAATTAAAATGCATCATTTATATGTGTTCCATCCTTCTTGGACTCATCAGTGTGCTAAGCGACTGATTTTTGACACTTTTGTGACGATTATTAAAAAGCAAAATTCATAGAAAAACTCCTTTAAGGTTTATCGAAAATCGTCTGTCTATGATGACTTTATGATATATTTAGCTTCAATTCAGTCACATTTTCTAACGTGATGAAATCTTCAAACAGTCTAACAAAGGTAACTACTAAAACAAAATATACAGCGAAATCTTAAGTAACCTCATAATGATATTTTACGATAAAGTAGATTTTACACATAGTGATATCGAAAATTAAATTAAACTTTTAGCTTAAAGCAAAATAAGAATGTGTTGCTAATCTGAATGAACGTTAGTTTCAGATGAAGAAGTCAACGTTATGCTTTAAACTAAAACATGAAGATGTTGATAAGAGATGAAAATTTATACGAGACATAACCGGAAAGGACTAAACATATAACGAACGAGGTTACACATTTCACACACGCACGCACGCACGCACGCACACACACACGCACGCACGCACGCACACACACACACACACACACACGCACACACACGCGTACGTGCACGCACACAAACACACATACAAATCTTACATAACATACATACAATGATAAATTTATTGACAGACTAATCAATTTTAAAAAAGAGTAATACATATACATGTTATATATGTGGCTTATTGCATAAGGTGATGAAAACAATTAATCTCAATACATACTGCTTACACAGGAAACAGTAGATATTGAACAATATAATCTTATGTCCCTTGCCTTGATTTTGATTCTTTCAAATATTTATTGGTTATCATAGCATAAAGATCAACCCAAAATAAATACCATGCATTATTGTAAATTAATAGGTTCTATAATCTTAGCGATGAGCACAAAAAGTTAATTTTCTTAAGAAATACTCATGATAAAATAATTTGTTTGAATCTGACTTAAAGGTGCGCTGTTGTAAGTCTGAAAGTTTGCTTCGGTTTCGGATGTTTTGCAAACATAGATGAAGCCCCAGCTCAGGAAGGTTACCTGCATTTGGTTTTATAGATCATATAACTGACGCTTGTTATTTAATTTGAATTTGATGTATTAAAACATGTTTTTTTGATATTGTTGTGTTTCAATACTGAATTTCTTCTAAAATAAGAATACTGACTTGTATTTTTGCATACGAACTGCACTGTCATGTACAGGTATACTCCATATTTCATCATAAGCACACGTGGGATATTAATAGTAAACAAAAATAAGATTTAGGATGTAAATGGCGTATTATCCACATACATTTCATATTTTCCTCTTTGTGTTGTACAGATGAAGGAATACTTGATAGATTTATATAATACAAAACACCAGAGATGCACGAAAAATGCTCTGGTTGGATAGATGAAATCATTCTGTGTTACTATTTCTATCATCTGCATCCATAAACGGCTTTAATACCAACTTTTGTTCCTTAGTTAAAGAGATAGTTCTTGAAGCATTTACATTTATTTGATTTTTGAGATTTTCCAGTCTTCTCTTTTCTTGTTTCTTCAAATTCTGCTTTATTTTTTCTTTGGTATCTAACCAAAGATATTTTTCATCTCTCAATATTTCAACTAATTCCTCATTGAACGGTTGGAAGAATATGTCTAGGCGATGTCTTGTGCTATTTAACATAGGTCCGATTTTTTTCTTAGTTGGTGTTTGATAAGCCCGTGATCTCGTCGCAATTTTAGTGATGTCTTTCTCCGCCAGCTCCGCTGCAAGGGATGAAGGAAATATCGTTACAAAAATATGAAAGCACATAACATTTTCATGATCTCTTCAGTGTCAAACGTGAAAATGATGAAATGAAAGAAAACATAAATGAAAGCAAATATGAACAGATGTCCTCCATAAATTATTAAGTCAGTGAATAATGGATACGTTTATTTTACGCGCTGACACTGTAAAACCAGTCTTACAAAATAGTGACATTACCATTTATATAATAGCTGTGTATGTAACAAGTACGAACTCATTTTCAGTAAGGAATTTGTAGCAAACGCACAAATCGACCATACATTATATTGATCAAATGAATGTCATCGGATAAAAATGGCTGTTGTGTTTATATTCGGACACAACAATGCTCCGGCAGAATTTTAGTATTAAAGGGGACGTAACTCATGTCGAAGGTATGTCAGATTCATTCTCTCTGAATGCAGGCTGATGAAGTTTATGGGTAATTTCTACGGTAGTCATAAAGACGGCATCCAGAAATATTATATTTGTGTAATATGAAACATGAATCAGTATGACTGCAGAAAACATATCAAATTTTATTATATAGATATGTTTTACGTAGGAAAAGGTAAATATTTCCAGGGACCGGGACAATTTAATGCTAATACCAGTTGACAAGACCAGGTCTGGGAGTATATCATGACGCGCTACCAAAGTCTCACGTAATTTTCAACACAATATGGTTTAATGTAGAGCAACTACTACTAACGGCCAAATTGGAATTTGTAATAGCTAAGAATACAACAGTGATTTTTTGAGTCCGATATAAATTTAAGTAAGTGATTAAATATAAACAATTTAAATTAAAAATGGAAATCCAGAAACAATTGAAATTAAAACGTCCAGGATTCCTAAGAATGTAGAGCTTGATGCAAATTTCTTTTAATCTCGTCGCGAAAGCAAGATGATTTGAAAATTAACTGAACGAAAGTAAATTTAAATGAATAAATTATTACTACATGTAGTTGTCTACATACCGGTATTCCTATGAAAGTCAATGTTGTAATTTATTCCTCACTTTACAATTTTTAGTACTTACTAAATTTCATGATATATACGGTATCGGGATTTGAAGTTGCTGTAGTTTCATTAATTGAACGCCCAAGGAGTCAGAATCTTATCAGCATTCTAAATGGTACATCATGCAATGACTAACGTACTCAATATTTCTGTAAAACGTGTAAATAATCAAAACAGTTTTAATATTCAACTTACTGACACCAAGAAAATTAAATATGTTTTTCAGATGTGACGATATATTTTGTGAGTAATCCTCCGACCGAATGATCAATATCTGTTTCCTTGGGAAAACCTTAAGCCACTCCTTGAGGAATACACTGTATATACTGACATGAATCCGTGCCTGAAATAACAATATGCTGTTAATAAAACATCATATTTTAGGAGTACTGATTTGCGTGCGCGCGCGCGCGTGTGTATTATTTTTTAGAGAAAAATGAAAGATAAAGTTGCAAAATATGTAAAAGACAGAATTATAGATTTGTCAATTTTGACGACTAATGCATATTTTGAAATAACAGTTCATCATACGATTTATTGCTTCTAACCGGAAAATGGAAATATTCACATTCCGATTTTTTTAACATATATTTTTTGTTTTACTCTTTAAGACCTTTAAGTGGCGCGGCGGGTGATTCAGAACAAAAGAGTGGATGATTTGCTTGCCCTGCAGGTTGGCATAAATATTGTAACCGTTGTTAATATTGAATGTTTCCTGAGAGTGACTGAATTCGGAATTTTTCAGCACAACTACATTTTGCAATGTCACACTTGAGATCATGTCATCGTTGGTCTTTATTTGAGTGTTTGCGAAGTTGAGGAATATTTCGGGTTCTGTTCCCGGGTCAAGACACTCTAGAGTCTTATAACTAGCAGTTACTCAGCTTTGAGTTGGCATTAGGTCACTGATAACTGATGTTTTTTTATAGTCCCATTGCACTCAAAAGTCATAATTCGGGCAGAGCAGCAAATTAACCCACCTGATCACGTATGGGAATGTCACAATCTAGATGTACCACCTATACTCTTCCGCACTTTCTTGGACACTCAACGCTTTCGCGATAAGAGAACAAGAGAGATAATGTCAAGAGAGACGATAGAATTTTATGGTTTCAAGTCAAAGTTCCCAAGTTCAATAGCCTTTTACGATCAATTCTGATAAAGTGACTCTGACATAGTGGAATATAGAAAATCACTTATGCTTACTTTGACACGTGTATGAAGCTTGCGGTCAAACAAACACTTGCGAACACTATAGCGTTCTGTGCAATTCTTGAAATATTGAAGTGACTGTAGCACAGCAGCACCAAAGCCCTTTGGAGTCTGAACTCCACTCTTTAGAAACAGGTAGTCGGAATATAACCTATCAGAAATATAAGGCGTTGACATTAATGTGGTGACACCTGTATACAAAAAGGGAGAGGATAAATATACATGTATATGTACCATCATAAGTTTAGAATATCACGATCACGGTGAACAAGAATGTATAAAAAAACTTGAATGATGTTTGGCTGTGTTGGCAACCTAGAATTTATATATTTTCCGTCGATGACACTGTGCGTAAAATTAACCCCATGTTGGCCTCATATAAATAAAAATGCCTTAATATGACTGTTATGTTAACAGGACGTCATACAAGTAGAGTCTAAGGTTTCCCCTCACCTCGCTTCTCTTTTTCATTTTTGGTTATTATTCACCTCTGCGAGGAAGGCTTTTGCCTTCCGCCCAAGACATAGCAGAGCATAAACTTGCAATATAACATAGTAGTAACTAATTTCTGCTTAACTCAGCATTATTGTTGTGTAATGGCAACTTACCCGTTGCACGAATGGTGTAATCATTTGGGGGACCTGCTAGGTGCCCTCGACAGTCTTATTTAGCATGGTGCATTTGAAGTGCTTCAGTTCCGCATTATCACAGGAAGGCATATACGAACATATAGCAGTCATTCATACATTTAGTGTACATAGACATAACGTTAAAAGAACATGTATTCACCTTTCTGTCGGATCTCTTAGAACAAGAATCAGCTTTACATTGGGATTCACGTGTTTCAGCAGATGAGGGGTGAGTATTTTCGGTATGTTTTGGTTTCTATTTTGCGGGATCTTGGGCCAACCAGAAAAGTCCCAGAAGTCCATAGGTGTTCCATCTCCTGTAAAGGATTAAATGGATAATATGTATCAATTAAAAACAATTGATTGTTATTTCAAATACACATTTGAATGTTTTAATATCGTCGGTATCAGTATACCTAACAGTAACAGACAAAATGAAAATATCAATACCTGAACAGAATCATTACCTAAAAATCAAGGTTATATAAAACTATGGGAAAATATCAACATTTGAAAGAATCACACGGAGACTCATATAAAGGCAAAAGGAGAATAAGAACAAGGTATACAACAACGGAACAGGCACTCTAACGAGCATTTAGCTTATATCGTAACATTGAGAAAGTGCCTTTGGCTATCGAATCAACATAAAAACACAATGGGGATACTAGTATCTTGATAGGATAAATCCACAACTGTTGGTTTCGTTGTAACAAAAGATTGAGATAAGTGGAAAATGCGGCAGAGTCTGTCGTGTCCTTGATGTCTAATTTTGGTGGTTATATAAGTTGGGCGATGTCAATAAATGTCTTGATATACTTTGACAAGACGTCATCAATATAAAAGAAGAATATTGAAGAATTTTGCAAGGTAAAATCCAATACGGTATTGTGGTATTAAGATAAAGCAGGCAAGAGAGTCCTGTAATCAAAGCTAGACATTTAAAGTTTCAGCGATGAGGACTTAAACAAGGAGAGCAGGACATTGTTTCACTATATGAATATTTTTGTTGTTGTAGAGCCAAAACCGTACATACAATGAAACCGGTCTTAACATCATTTTTGTTTGTACAACGAAAATATTTGCAGAATCTTAATTAAAAAAATTAATCATGGTTATTTCATATTACAACCTGCGAAATCCACAGTTTTACCTGTAATAAGGAGGTGGAAATCATGGTTGTTCGCATTTGAACCTTTTTTGTTTAACTGAATTGTTCGTTCTATCTGTCCAGCTGCATTGTCGAAATAACCCAAATATTTGTCAAACGACTCTTTTCTGACTTGTTTTTTCAGTCCGTGACCTATAAATAAAAGGAAATGAGAGATGGAAGACAAAAAGGCATTAAACATTACATCTTAAAATATCATACTTTTAATTTGAACATGAAACATATCCGTTTGTGAACAGTAATCTTGTAGGAAAATCTTCAGTTTTCATTCAGCGTTAATTTGAACATAAAACATAGTTACACAATATGGAAAATGAATGTTTTATCTACCATAACGTGTCCAAGGCCACCAAGATGTTTCTTTTTCAAGGACTCCGAGGTTTGGTAGGACCTGTGGGTGCTGCGTAATCCTAGCAAATAGGTCGGTTGATCCACTCTTATCCACTCCAATCAGGTGGAAGTATGGAAGACATCGCAATGCACGTACAGAAACGGACCCTACTGTTTTACAAACGTCATAGAAACAAGGGTTTTTGTAACCTTCCGGTATGAAACTTATATTCTGTAAATAATCAAACATAAAATTAAGTAATAATTGTACGAAAATGCAGATAAAAAATTGAAGAGATACGCCTCGATTTTAGCTCTAGTCGCCCCTTAAGACATCAGTTGCCAAGAAGCACAAAGACGTATTTTAACATTCTACTTTACATATATCTACAAGAGATCCATGGAGCCCCTCATTGTTTTGTTTTTAAATGTCAGGTCGATCCCTTTTCTTTATCCCGATGTTTTCTTTTTCCTGATCAGTTTCAAAATTGGATGAACACACCTAGGACCAGAAACATTGATATGCAGTTTGAGAAAAATCCTCCCAGTACTTCTCGGAAATAACAACAGCAAAGATTGTTTCGTTTACGGGCGGACGTTCTTCCATATTAAACTTTTTAATTGCACATCACTTCATCCTGTCACTAAAAAGCACATGGCACTGGTCTCTACTGGTGATGCAAACAACAAATCTATGTATACTTGAACAAAGGACGTAGGGGGAGTTGAAACGAGCTTGATGGGCTCAAAGCATATTTAAAACATTTTGTATACCTCCAATCAGAAGGCAGTTATTATTTTACAACAACTGATGGGTTTTTGATCATAACCAAACGTTGTCATCATATTTTTATGTCATAATAGTAAAGGCCACTAATATGCTATTGTTGAAAAGTAGTTCACGGTAATTAAGTGCCCTAATTACTAATTAAGTCACATTTGAGCACTGTTTTTTGTCTTTATGCATCTATAAACAATACATTTTTCACGTGCAGTGTATTTATTTGCAAATATTTTTGCATGAATTAGAGTAATGACTAGTTACAATTTAAAGTGCAAGAGCACCAGTTACTATCTTATTCCGGTTAATGAAAATGAATATTGAATTATACTGTATGAAAAATTATTTCAAATAAATTTCACAGTATAATAATTCTTCCGTGCATTAGTTGTATTCTTGAGCTTTAACATAAGATGGCTTGACACTAGAGCTTTAACATAAAATAGTATGACATCATGACATCTCCCTGATGTATACCTTGTTAATGGTCTTGTTTCAAAAACTAGCAAACTTCAGTAATCTACTATGCAGTGTATGTAACACATGGTATATCCAGATATATAAGTATACTTTGTTCTGTGCAGTTCGTACATGCATTGACTTATGCACATATCTTGTGTATCACTAAACCGTGAAATATAATTTCATTCATACATATATATAATAGTATTATAGTATTTTGTTAGTTTTTATTAACTTCTTGTTATTTTTGTAAAATGCCAGTACACAAGCAGTGTGCTTGCTGCAAAGCAGATTATAAAGTCAGAATATATTGTCCGAATCAGGCAGATGTTCTGTCTTTCCTGAAAGATAACATCAATAAAGATTTATGTTTAAGTGACCCTGTATGTAAGAAATGCAGAGGGAGATTCTACAAACACCATGAACCAGTAGAGCATTCCAAACAGTGGTTTAGACCATCAGAATGAGACACCTGACTCTAAAAATATCAAACTTGATATTCCAAGAGCTACGCTTACTGCATCGCGATGTTTCGTTTGTGGAAAGTCCAGAGATGAAAAAAGTAAAATGGTGAAACCATGCACGGAAATAAGAGTTAAGATTTTCATTAAGACAGGTGTCTTGATTCCAAACACATCTAGGTGCTGTGCCCACATTGCATCGGTCCTATGGTATCTTTCTTATTACCGACACCAGTCTTATACTGCACAAATAACTGCCTCCTCAATTTTCCTTCATTGCGTTGATAACGCAATGACGGTGGAGAACTGGTCAGATTGTGACAGCGACAGTGACTCCTAAATGAATATCCCAACACCACCATTCCCCTTACTAAAGCAGTAAACAAAAATACAGTCCTGTAAGTAATAGACAAAGGCCATTTATGATCCTGTGAAACCCGGTGCTAAATTGATTTTTTCCATTTTGATATCATCCTTATTTGCAAATAAGTACACTGCACGTGATAAACGTATTGTTTATAGATGTATTAAGACAAAAAACAGTGCTAAAGTGTGACTTAATTATTAATTAAGGCACTTAATTGCCGTGAGCTACTTTTCAACAACGGCATATTTTTTTGGTCATTTTTTCTAATGAAGGCTTTGAAATATATCATCAAATGACATTTAAGCGAAAAAAAAAACTAAAAAAAGATGTTTTAGTTTGATAATTATTGCAATAATTGTGAATTTGATCCCCCAATCGTCCCCCTATAACAACTGAACAGCCTTGAGCTGACCTTAGATTAATGTCATGTCATTACCGCCTGACTTCAGGTTTTTAATAGACAAAAAATTAAAAGTATTCGTCATGGCCACCAGAAGGCCCAAACTGGCACTCCTCCTTTGTTAAGTGTACCGATGAGGTCACTTATCATATAATTGCGCCCAAGTGGGATAAAGTTTCCCTATGTAGGACTAGATGGGAGCAAAATACAAGCAAAGATAATATTGAAATCGTTATTGTCGAAACTTAAGTTGATTCTGATATCGATAGAGGAATTTATTATTGAATACTTAATAACTTAATAAGTTGATTTCTTGCTGTGTTGAATACATACAGGAAGTACTTACGTATTTCATTATATCCTCTGCATATGTACTGTTGTAATGAAATTGAGACGATTCATCAGAGCACCACTCATACGGCTTCAAATTTTGCGTTGCCGGAAATGACGTAATGTTTTGTTCTGAACTCACATTAGTTACGTTTAGAATGGAATAGTTTATTTTAGAATGGCTTTCATTCGTGAACAAAAACGTGTAAAGGTCTTTTTTGAAGATTGATAAATGTTCTTTGTTGTTTCCTGAGGTGTCTTTAGTGACTAAGTTACGGGTGTGTAGTTGAAGATACCCTAGGATTGCACCTAGCAACACAAATCCCAACAGTGTCGATGCCAGATGACTTCTCCGGTAGCACGCTAAATGACGCAAGCGCATTTTAGTACGATTTTCTTTCAGCAGGCTGTGCCTGTGATATTAGAGACCGTTAGCAGATGACTGAATCTACAATAAAGGAAAAACGAAAAAATGTTCATAATGGAAAAGTAGCTGTGCGTATTGTAGTTGATATGGGTTTCGTTGTAACGTATACGCTGTAAGAAAATAAAATGTATTTCATGATTAGATACCTTTTTTGAAGTAAAATGCACATAGAGTTGCTATGAGGTGTACAGCCTTTTATCGCCATCAGCTACCACTGTATCACACCAAATATTCATTGTGTCATTTTGACGGCGACACAGTTGAAACTTGATATTATTGTGATATTGCAATGGGTGATTGAAAACCAGATATAGAAAGACTAAGTGCAGAAAGACATTACCTTAGTATGGATGAATTAGCAAACACATTGCTTCCTAGGGTATACGAGGTTTTTTTACCAGAATCATCATTTTGTAAGCTGTGTTAGTCATTCGAATAACATTTTCTCCATGTCACCTTCATGTAAACTTACAAAATGTCATTGTCTTGTTTCTTATCGTCGTGGGAATCACCTTTCGTCACCTACTTCTATAGATTTGGGCGATAACTTATATAATGGTGTCATATCAACAAGACCATTTTATCTACGAACATCAATATACTGATAAGAATTCAAGAATGACAACACGAGGTCTTACGTAATTTCTTCCCAGGCAGGTAAATAAATAGTGGCTCGATTGTAAAGAGTGAAGTGTTACAAAAGGATTCACAAAAGTCATTGGGATTTAAACATGTGTCATTCAAGGATATGAAAAAAGTCTCACGTGTAATTGCATTGCTATTATCAATACTAATGATGTTAGAAATATATCTAACTCCAAATGTGTTATTTTCTCATATATTTCTATATAAACTATAGTTAATGATTTATATGGTTACAAGTACCATGGTATAGCTTTGATAAAGCATCATTGGACCTTTTCATCTACGGGAAAACTTATTTTTCTTCAGCAAACGAAACAGTTTTATGATGACAAAATACCTTTTACATGAACATACTTTCTTTAAATAAAAGAATGGTAATTATGGAATCTAGTTCTATTTGACAAACACCTTATCCTGTCATTTTAAAATATTCATGTGCGTATGATCTGTTTACTGTACGAGGCTATGTTATGTTTGCGCATGTCGTTATGAATAATAAATTCTTGTAATAAATATTTGTGTGTTCAGTTTTTTGCGTAAGAATATCATCCCTACATAAACATATACTTACTACACTAGTAAGAATAGCAGACAAGTCTACGTGTGAATGATTTACATCTTGATCCAGATATGTCACAGTGACTAGACTCGTTACAGTCGCCGTAGTAGGGTGTATGTCACGATTGCAGTCACAACATACACCGGTACCGTATGTGTCCGATTCCTGTGTTAACTTTCCGCGGCCCGTTTATCTGTAAACGGTGCCTCCTGTTAGGGGCAGTGGTACAGAATGCGTCACGGCCTTGTTGCGGTCAAAATGATAAGAATAAGAAGCCTAAAAAGATTTTTAAAAATCAACTTTTAATTAATTTTTACTTGTGTATATTGATCTTCGCGTTCAAATTCCATAATAGTTCTAATAACGTACTCCTCACAATTCATCAATATACGACATTTAAAAAATGAAACCTTGCTTGCATGAATGCGGAGGAATTTAGTATATCATACGTTTTTTTATGTTTCTTAAAAACACAGTAAGCAGTGTCTTTAAGTCAAGCATAAAAAAAAGTTCCGTCAAAATAGTTCATAACTGACACTTATATTGCATTTTAAGATTTGTGTTTCGATCGTGAGTGGCCATCTTGAGAACAATTATGTTCATACGATTAATTCTGAATTAATTCTGAAAACTAGTTCTGAGCAATATCAATAAATAAATAATAGTGTTCTTGTTGATAACAAAATGTTTACCGTTGTTCATAGCACACATTGTCTTTTAGATGATTTGGTATCGTACAAAAATGCTTGTAGTAAAGAATGCTCGTGTTTGTGTTTTGTATGTAGATAAGGTGTGTGTTTAAGTTATGTACCAATTTGAATTTAATGACCTATGCAACAATTACATGTATTCAGGGATTAAGTTCCCTTGACACTTTCAAATGAGGATTCTCTAGTGATTCATTGTTAAAAATATCTTCACTAATTTTAACTCTCAAAATTGGAATATGTTAATTGAAAGTCATGTTTAAAGGGTTCTGTGTTGTATATATTGAAATTACTATCATTGATGACCTGATGTATTTCTCATGATGATATAACACTTCTGCTTACACATTTTGCAGTGGAATTAGGTTAAGTAGAAATTAAATTCTGTTCTGCATGCAAAAATATGTTGGCACTATAATATATGTTATCATACCTCAGCAGTAGTCAATCATTGATTTATACTATTATCTATTTCATATTCATTGCAAACTGAAATAAAGCCATAACATTCTTTTCCAGCATATTTATAAAACACCTTTGGTTTGGGAAATCATTTTGATGATATAGTGACAGGGAGTCATTTACCTTTGTCACTTGGTGTGGGAAATTGGCTCGTCTGAATTAACGACCAGCAAACCAAAACGAAACATATATACCTTTATTTACAATCCAAGCAAAATAAACAAACAAAAATCTACGAAGAACTCACCACACCACTTCACCTTACCACACTCATACTTTCCTCTTACACTACAGATACGGAAGCGCCCTGTAGTAACAATTATACTATATACTATAACATGAGAAATTATCCCTAAATCAATAATTATTACAGTCTCTTGTTTTAAGTTCATGAACTTAGCGCGACGACGTTAAGCGAGATAAGCTGTCACTCCTGCATGGAGAGCATCAGTCGAGGTAGTATCATGATCAGTTCCTTTGGTTATAACACTTTCATCAAGGTCCTGATTCTGATCACAAAATCCTAACGAAGGCCTCAGGACCTTCTTGGTCACATATAGTGGTACATCAACTCCTAGTTAGCTTCATCCCGAACACCCTGGACGCACAGTGCTGGTTCTCAGAAATATGGCACACAGCCTCTCGAACACACGGTGCTGATTCTCAGAAATATGGCACACAGCCTCTCGAACACACAGTGCTGATTCTCAGAAATATGGCACACAGCCTCTCGAACACACGGTGCTGATTCTCAATAATATGGCACACAGCCTCTCGAACACACAGTGCTGATTCTCAGAAATATGGCACACAGCCTCTTGAACACACGGTGCTGATTCTCAGAAATATGGCACACAGCCTCTCGAACACACGGTGCTGATTCTCAGAAATATGGCACACAGCCTCTCGAACACACAGTGCTGATTCTCAGAAATATGGCACACAGCCTCTCGAACACACAGTGCTGATTCTCAGAAATATGGTACACGGCCTCTCGGACACACAGTCCTGGACAAAACCGCTACGGTTTCGTGGACACAGTCCTAAACGTCTCACGGACACACAGTCCTAGACAAACATGGCACACAGCCCACACAGCTTCGAAGCACACAGTTTGGAAAATAACACTTACAGGCATACAGCCATCATGAACACCCAGCTAATAAAATGACATACCGACAGGTACCTGTTCTAGGCTCCCAACATATTAATTCCTGGAATTAGGTACACAGCCCTCCCAACTGTACTGCCAATATTTATGGTGACGAGCCCTGGACATCACAACCTCCACTGTCGAAGTTCTGTCTGGTACTGTTCCATCAATTTATATGGTTGTGAAGTTTGGGGGTTTTGTGACTATAAACTTCTAGAAAGTCTACATTTAAAATTTTGTAAACATATTCTCAAATTTAAAACATCGACCCCCAACTTCATGGTTTAAGGCGAACTCGGAAGATTTCCAATGAATATTAATATCAAAGTACGTATGGTTGGATTTTGGGCCAAATTGATAGAATCTTCACATAACAAGTTGAGTCATAAACTGTATCATTTAGCTAATAATTATAATACAGAGTGCTCTAATTGTATCAAAAAGATTTTTGAAGAATGTGATTTACTTAATATCTTCGAATCCCAACAAGTCATCAATATACCTTGCCTGAAAAATAATCTTCCATACTCTTAGAAATATTTTTTTATAGTTAGAAAAACGATGTTTTCAATTCCCCAAAAGGGACAAATCATAGATTCTCCCTCTCAGAGTGTCTACGGTTTATTGTAAATTTATAACATGTAATTTAAAATTAGCTGTTGAAATAGAGGGATGGAACACTGTACATAGAGAAAATAGAATGTTTAACTTTTGTAATATTCATGAAATTGGAGATGAGTTCCATTATTTATCTAATTGAAGTGACCAACAAATATTAGTTAATACAAAGAAATTAATATTTATATTTATTTAATTATGTTGCTAATGATGAATTGATATCACTTGTAAAATTTATTAAGATAATTAATGATCGGCTAGACTAGGAAAACTAATGCCATTTGTACTAAAGTGATGTAATTGTGGTATAGCATATGTCTTACTTGTACTTGTATATAAATTCTCTACACTACTTTGTTCACGAGAATAAAATATTTATCATTGTCAACAGTCCAACCTCGGGTTTCCCATAAAATACCTTGTAAGTGCATGCTTAGCACAAGTTCCCCAACTACCTAGTGCCTACGTTAGCCGACACAGGCCTGACAAGTTCCCAGTTACCTGAGGCACAGCGCGTGCATAACAGGTAGGCGAACGACCTGTCATGATTGAGTAACCTCCATGGTAAACTTCTAGTGACAATTGTTAACATTGTGGTAAAATATTTAGGAGTATTCTGATAGCCTTTATGCGATAATAAGCACGCCTTTGTTCTAGTCGTTTTGTAAGTCTGTTTGTACAATGTGCAATATCAATGTTTAAAGTTAGTAAAAAATTTCAGCAGTCATGCGTAATGTCTATTTTAAAGTGTATTGTATTGCTCTGTTACCGCCCTAGAAGTCTAGAACATGACAACGTGCTCAGAGAGGTG